TGAATTAACAATCACAAGGTTGAAAAAATACTTCAGCATTGACTTAATCTGCATCGAAATTGTGAAGTCCTTTATTTTATAATACATAAATGTATGTAATATAATACATTATTTGGAACATTGTGATAGGTAAACGTGATCATGTGTTCGCATTCAGCTTATTCATTGGCGGGTACACTTCGCTGTTTAATTTGAAAATGCATTAACTCGCATTACCCGAAACCTCGGTACAGGTGACACGAATAATAATGTGAGACGTTATATAATTCTCCCATAATGTATTAAGTTCAGGTAGAAACCTAACAGCGTTTCAATGTTTCACCAAATTTTCTGAACTTAATTCCACAAAGTGCCTCTTCCTTTGTCCAAAACAGTGATTGCCCCTATGTTCGTGAGGCTATGATTTACAAACTCATTTTCTTAAACTTGGACTTGATAGGCTTATTTAATAGATTGTGTATAAATTATAGATTGCGAGTTTGAAATATACAGAGCGAGCTATAAATGCGGGAAAATAGACATCAACTTTCCGTCCTCCTGTGTGTGTGATACGAGGTGTGTGACAGACGGTGATGAAAACAAGCGTCGGCTCAGCCTCATGCCCTCTGAGGAACGAAGAGGTTCGCAATACCAACTAGCGTGGCTGACCTTGCGGAGATTTTATGCAAAGCGCAGAGGCGGACATTTGAAGGGAACGTAATGGCGGGGGGACGAACGCAAGATATAATACTGCAGAAGAGGTTTGATTAGTTTTCAGAGTAACCGAATATCCTCAGAAAAAAAACACAAAATATTATAATGAACCACACGATATTTTCAAAGTATCTTATCTTCTTCGAACCTCAGTGGAGAGTTGTAAAGTACGCGCAAATTGTTCACATTGGTATGAACTTAAATGTACCCTCTTTCGTCAAATCAGACGTATGCAACCTAGGAAATAAGTCGACAATTGTCAGTGCTACTTCAAAAACGCGTTTGTTTAGAAATTCCATTGGATGGAAAAGTCTGTAAACTTTTCGGACGGGCTACGGAGAAAAAGAGGTAGTAATATAAGAACATATCTGTGGTTGTAGGTAAAAGAACGAATAAAACCAAACAACTTCCAGGAGCAGAAAATATGTGAATATATCTGTCATCGTAAGACAACACAGCTGTAAAATTATTCAAGTAGCATATTAATGTGAATCCGGTTAATAAGCCATCACCATGGATATATCGTCATGGATATTATAACATTGGAAAGTTAGTGACGTATTTATGTTCAATAAAGCTGTGTGGTACAATGATTTTCCCTCATTTATGACACGTTCTGTAGTTTCAGATTTTGTGTTATGAGTCAAGAATGCAACAGACTTACCAAATTTATACGCAAAATAGAGTTTACACGAGAATATGCAGTCGACGATCGTTAAAATGCCAACGCTCGCATCTTTAACGGTCGTTGACTGCATACTCTCGTGTCGTGTCATTACTGTCGAAATAAACTGTCCGACGATCGTAGAGTGCAAAGGTATCTCGTGCGAACTCGAGTAAGCTACTGAAGTCATATTACTATTTTTAAAAATATCATTCCGTACGATGGTAATCCAATAATTAAGTCGCAAAACAGGATATTAAATCTAAATCGAATCTTTCCCAAATGGATTTTACTTTCGTACGCAGTCACCTGCATCACTGAGAGCGCAAGCAACACCGCGTTCCAAGTGCTTTGAAGGCCGCTGCATCGTTTTGTTCCTACTAACGCATCCAACGAGGATCCTTTCGGGCAACGGCACCTCCGTAAAATGGCTTCCATCCAAAAGACTTTTAGGGCCCAAGGAGATGAATGTTGAGGACTTAGTCGGAACTGCATGGTGGATGTTCCAGACATTCGCAGAGGAAAAACTGCCTGAGCTTTCGGCTTGTCTACCGATGCGAGGGCAGACATTGGGTGATATGGATAAAAATGAGCTATTACTTCTTTCTCGAGTTTTCAAAGCCATTGCTTCAAACTGTATCAATAAAGAACGTGAGTATTGGCTCGTATTTTTTCTCCATTGGTGAGTAATTGGTCAGCATTTACTTCGAGTTTTCGGAGCAACCACTGTATATGACTGAAATCGTATTAATGGATAAAAGAGAGGTTATACACGCCTGTTGTGATCTGGTTGTGAGGTTTTAGGTAGTGAGTGAATAAATTATGGAATATTTCCTACGATTTCGACAAGGTGTTTCAGGAGTTTTAACATTACATCATCATCAAATTGACATCAATGACAATTTGAATCTCATAGGGAAACTGAAGTAGAGATTATTGATAGTATAACGTCAAAGATACTTATTTCATTAAACTAAAAAATTGTAATTACATATTTTAAGAAATTTGAGTTGAATGAGGGAGAGAGGTAATAAATATGTGGTTTAGGAGGGATGTAATTTATCTTTCCGAGACCTTGAAAGTATTCGGCGAGGAAATTGGTATGTTTGTTCTAAATTAAAAGTGTGGGTTGTAAATCGTCTAAGGAGTTGAAAATTTTCTGTTTGTGATAATTTACTAGAGAGGAATAACAAACCACTTGCCCTTAACGGTCGAAACTATTAGGAACCAGCGCACGTCGCGCGGTAACGCAAGTTCATATGAATAAAACGTTTCGAGGAACTCGGAGCATTTGTTTAAATTAGTTATTGCTCAGTAACTGTTCTGTTGCGATTGGTCTGTTTTCGTCTGCTTTAGACTAAAATCGACCAATCGCAATAGATCAGTTTGTGAGCAATTACTCAGAGAAGTAAATGCTCAGTTTCTCGAAACTTTTTATTCATATGAAAAGAAGCAATTGCTTCTGAGAAGTAGTAGTTTCTACTTGTAGTCGTGATAAATTGCTGTGAAGTACTTACACATTTTTGTTTATATCACCCATTGTTTTTCAGCAGAAACGTTCCAGCTCTCAGAGGTCGATTGAACAGCGTGACGCAATTTGGAAAGATTACTCTTGGGCATTGCTTCCATGATTAAAATCACCATGAGGATTGAACTTGAGCTGTAGTACACTAGGAGTGTCATAACGCACCATCACCACAACTTTACAAGATGGCCTAAAACCTGAACTGTTTGCGGGTCGTGAATGTTTTGAAAGCACCGGAGGTCGCCTCCACTCAGGATGAAAGGTAAAAATAAAGTACTCGTTCGTTGAGCCTTCCGTGCCCGGAAGCCCTCTCCTCGTGACTGGAGTGAGGTGCTGCAAGAGCTAATCCTTCTGGATCTGTTTTGAGTCCCGCAGCAATTGTCGGGGATGCACAGCGCGCGTGAACGTAGCGAAACTTCGGCCGCCCGCGCACGACGTTCTACACACGACTTGGCCTTCAGAACGCGCTTCGGGCGATCTTCTCTTGTTACTCTCCATCCTAACAGACACGTGCTACTACCCACGGAAATAAAATTGGGATTTGTTGTTCTGCAACTTGCGACTTACTTATTGACGTAACCCTTTGTTATTTATGGCAACAAACGAGAATATGTTATTTTTACAAATATTTTGTAGAATATATTTTTGAAAGTTTAAATTTGTGAAAATAAAACTTATTTTTAACCATAGTAAGCCATCAAATAATTGTATACAAACAGAAATAATATCTGAAAATATTTAATGTTTTGTCGATATGTATCAAGAACCTTGATACAATACGTTTGAGATTTCCAAACCTCAAATGATGAAGAATCAAAGATGTGGGTGGTAATAAGATTCTTTAAAAATTCCGCGTGATAGGTGGACGGGAGATGATTACCTTTCCTGATAAGTGGAGTTCGGATTCTGACGACTTCAAATTTGTAAGAAAAATGACTTAAAATACGAGGGAAATTACCTATGAAATGACTTAAAAATAAGGGGAAAATTACCTATTTTTTAAAAAAATGTGTAAAAAATGTGTATTTATTCAATACATTTTACAATTTTCAATAAAATTTATTTACATAAAATTATATTTTATATAGTCTTTACTGTAGGCCGAAATGTAATCCTTGGCTCCGACCTTTCAGTTTTGAAAGGTCGAGGAAGTTACCGAAGAACTGAGTAATTTTGAGTTCGAAAAACTGAGTCAACTGGCGTAGTGAATTTCGTCGTGAACTTTGACACGCATAAACCAAGTTTTTATTGTATCATTTGTAATGTGAAATAACGAACAACTTGAAAATGAAACAAAATGCGTAAAAATGTCCTAAAAATTGAAAAGTGACAAAAAGTTCCCAATAACTAAACATTTATATCACCTATGTCGTGATAAAAATTCACTTACACGTTAGCTGCATCTAAAACGCACCAATGGAAAAATGATTTATCAGAATCCGAGCCCTGCTTATAAGTTAAGAAAGAGGGAGGTGGTTAAAAAGACTGATGATTAAAAGTGATGTGCGGCTGAGGGAGCCTAAACCTAGATTTGATTGAATATTACGGTCGAATGCCTGGAAAGAAAAGGGGCTCAGACTAGGTGAATAGCGCCCAGCCCATTTTTTCGCCGTATGTAAGATTTCCATGCCCAATCATAACGTTAGTTGAGTAAATCCGATTTTCTGAGAAGTCCAGAGAAGTTTGAAGGAGACTTTGAACATAGTGAAAAATGAAAAGAAAGAAGAGATGACTGGCTTGAACGTGTCACTAAGTATAAGTAAATATTTGACTGACCAATCGACATTTATCTAGACTAACCACGATGATACCGCATTGTTCACATGCGCCATTTCTCTACGCAGTTAATGAACAGCTCTTTAACCAGTGTCCATTGCAAGTGAATTGAACCAAACGAATTTTCTCGTGGTTACGTTAATTGGGAATTTACTTGCAAAATACTACGATTATTCATAAATATGCTCTTTGTTACATTAATAACATGATAACATGCAAAGATTAAATTTTAATTAATAAGTAAATAATTTTGTAAGTATTGATGGTAGGTTAGAGTATCGGATAAGTTAAGTTTTGATTTTGGTTGTCTTTCTATAATTTATATTTTTTTAAATTTTCCAGTTCCATTACATTTCCGACAACCTCAAAAAAGACCCTTCTGCAAATGTATTACATTTTTTAAAAAAATGTTTAATTAAATGAAATTTGTGACCGTTTCGGATACTGCTGCGTATCCTTCATCGGGCTACAAATTAAGTTTCACAATATTGGTTATGAATGAAAATTCAAAAATGATATTTAGAAAATTTGTTGAATGAAGGAAAGCTTTGAATGAAGGTGAGCTTTCCTAATGAATTGGGTACTGTTTTAGTTCTGTAATTTTTTTTTTCACTTAAACAGGAAAATCCTGCAGGAAATTTAATGGGAGTGGAAAACATTTTAAAATATAAATTAGAGTATATGACTATTACCCGAAATCGTGGGATCGAACCTTCCCCCTTTCAAATAGTGTAATTTTAAGGACAAATGTCCTTCGGACAGGAAGTAAAACTTGTTCCATGTCGAATATTTTCAATGTGAAGTCTTAAAGGACGTCTGAGCTACAACCTAAATCCGTTCACGCCGTAATAAAGCACTATGTGAAGAGCGAAGATTCAAAACCCCTTGTTTCTTCACTAGAACTAAAGAGGCTTGTCGGTGTTTCCACCATTCACCAAGTTATTTAAGAGGTGTTGGATTACATGCACTGTCATTCAAAATGAGCTTCACGTGTATTTTCAATGCTATTATTGGTGCTAAAGCTTAATGAGTGGCGTAAGGTGATTCACTGGTGTACACTAGACTGCAGTTTGTCATTTATAACGCATAATGATAATTTTACGCAATAAAATAATGATTGTCCGAGAACAAACAGAGCTTTAAAAGTAAAGCGTAATAAACTTTTTTAAAGGTTAATATATTCTTGGCTATCCGGGAGGGGCCGCGTCTCGTCAATTGTGCTGACGTTTCGGCCATCTTGCTGTGGCCTTCGTCAGAGCTAAGCGTGAGCCCAATTGACCGAGACGCGTCTCATCCCGGATAGCCAACACTGTATTGACTCCGGCCGCGGAAGCCCACGAAATTTTTAAAGGGTAGTAAAAAGTATTTTGATCGTATGCTAACGGTCTATTATAAGTAATTAAACCGCCTGATATTTGGTTTAAACTTTTCTACTAATCGGAGACAATAGGAAATGTGAGAGCGTAGGCTTTCGCGGCCGGAGTCAGTATTTAATTGGCCGTCCGGGTGACTCTGCGTTCATAGGAAAGGTGCCGACGTTTCGGTCGCCATTCTGCGACCTTCCTCAGGGGAATGGCGACCGAAACGTCGGCACCTTTGCCATGGACGCGGCGTCACCCGGACAGCCAAGTAAATAATAGGAAATGTGTTCATGTCATCTACTACAAAGTAGTATTGGACTACGTTTCCATTCTGTGAGAGTATTTTTCAAGACGTTATAAAAAGACACATTATTTGTTCTGTGTAGTTAAAAATATCAGCTAAAATTTTCTAATAAAGCAATGGTTTAAAAAACCACGTGTCATGGATATTATACGCGCATGTCATCTTGAGCACCTCATATCCATGTTTTCACGTAAATGCATTTAGAATGAGCCGAGTTACTCAATATTTCTTCACTAAACTCAATCAGGTGCAAAATATCTATACATTATTTGGTAGATCTCAGCTTGAGCAACTTGTTTTATTGCTTTATAATTATTTATAATCAGTGGTATTTTTAAAATGGTGTGGTAGTTTACCTTTAAAAGTGAAAGTCTCTGTGTATTGTACACTATGCACTTTCTGCGTATTGTACAGTTGGTTCACTTTCTGTTTTATTTTGAAGTTTGTGTCAATTATGTTAATTTAATTACCGTAATATTAAAAAACTAATAATGAACACGTTCTGACCTCAGTATTAAAGGTGAGAGGAAGCCGTGTCTTTAACAAGACGTCTCATCTTTAATATTACACAGGTTATAAATGGGTGTATTTCAAGGGCGTTAAATACATGTTTTGCCCCACGGGCGACTTCCAGACCTTATAGCTTATGGCTCAAGGGGTTAGAAGTCGCCTGAGGGGCAGAAACTCGTAATAACGCCTGCGATGCAAACAAAACTTAATGGTTTACTAGTATGTTGCTGAATTAAACGAGAACTCGAACATTTATAATTTTCTTGTCTAAAGTGAAAAGGCGCATTGTAATAATTTCTCCATAAGACGTCAGATAAACAAGACAAAGTATCTAAGTTCTAATTGCACAATCTCGGAACTGATTTGTTCGTTCAATATGAAACAATATTGTGATGTTCACGCGGAAATTCTCGCGAAAGCTAGCAAAATTAATATATAATAGCAAGCTGTAATATCTCGAGATATATATTCAAATGATTGTAGTGTATTTGAGTTATATGGAAAATAACAGTGAATTGCGTCGATGAAACAATATTTTTAGATTATTTGCCTCTATTGCCAAATGTTATTTAAAATATTTCATAACATAAATAAATTACATTTCGAGGATGTTAGTCGATGTGCATTAAACATCTTATTACTTGCAGTTGTTCTGTTACTCAAGAAGCATATGTATATCTAAAAAATGTGATGTATAACAGTGAAATATGAGTGACTGATGGCAATTATAAATCCACGGGGACATCCAAAATTGCAATTTTCCTATAAATTAAGCAAAGTTAGGTTTAGAACAGTTATTTTACTTATTTGAGCACTATGCAATTTATTTATTTTATTTTCTTGTATCAACTTAAAGAAATCGAACCCGATGTTTTGGTTGCTAGAGCGGACGTAACGTATTCCAAGGGCCCGCGTGGAGCAATAAATCAGAAAGGCCTGCAAGGATATTAACAATACCTTCACTGTTCTGCTTGAGGTCCGTAAACACAGCAATGAACTAGTAAACCGTAAAAAGGATTTTTGCGTTCAAAGACTATTACATTAAGTAAAACAACCAATGTTTTGTTGAAATGTATCTCTACTTTTTGAAAAGTTTTATACGATTTTGTTACAGAAAGGCCTTGGTAGTGAGAATTGTGTGATGCAAATGTACTCGATAAGTCTTTCAAATAAATATTTTTGTCAACAATACAAATTTCATATTTCCAGTACAGAAGGCACGGGATTTTTGGACAGAAGGAAGGGGGATTTTTGGGATAATTCAGGGGAGGTCTTGTTAAAGTATGAGTGTGTGTCTGCTTTCTGAATGCTGTAACTTAAACCAAACTCTTCGATTGCAGTGTTGTGTCGTCGACAATACTTATGTCGTCCACCTACATGAGATGATTAAAATATTGGTAAATGTATTTTTTGTTTGTAGTTTACACGTCGAGCATATTCGGTAGTATCAAATCAGAATTGTACACAGAAAGGCATATGTCACGAATTGTTAGGACAAAGAGAAGGTCTATATCAACTCATGGCAGAAGGGAAATACTCAACTCGGAGACGGTATTTAGTCTATACATTTATTGTTACTTCTGCGCCCGAGGCAGCGAAGACTTTGCCGTGGCGATCGGGCGAAATCGTTAAACGTCGGCGGAATGATGCAGCACTACAGTGTTGCCGCCGCAGGTCTATGAACACAGACTGCAGCAGATGCGCTTCGATTCAAAACACACAATACTTATTTTTTAAATATACCTATGTGCATTTCAGATTGCAGCTAAAAAAGACCAAATTAAAAATATTTGCTTCACAAAGGTAATTTACCAGAGGAATTGCCCGCCCTCCAGTGCGTCAAGAAACTGCATCTTCTATATTTAAAAAGTCCATGCATCCGAGAAGCACAGTATTTGTTATATACATAAAAAGAGGCTGATACGAAATATTTACATTACATATCAACAAGAGCGGCTTAGAAATCATGTGCAGATAGTAGTCGCGTTTGCTTGAAAACAATTGCGAAAGGAGGCAAGATTTTTTTAAATGATCGCATATCCTGGACCTGGAGGGGGTCTTTTGGCGGGCACAGTGACGGCAGCCTGCTGGTGGAACAGATGGCTCTGCCAACGTCCCTCACCGTCTCTGGGCTGCCGTTGCTAAGCGCTGTGCGACAATCCAACACTCCTCTCATTCCTCCTTCGAGCAGATGGAATAGGGCATGTTGCATGGAGCACGCTAGTGGGTGAAGTATGTTGTATGGTGCACAGCGAGCTTGCCACTCATCTGATTCACGTCACGGAGGCGATTAGACACAATCTAGGTGGCGTTGATAAGATTTCGGCTTTATCGAAAGTTACGAACCTGATATTCAGACGTGTCATAGCCTTCAGTAAGTGTTAATGATTTGAGATTTTATTTCTGATGGTGCCATGTGCGTAGTATTGTATGGCAATAGCCCACTGAATTGTCAGAGCCGCGTATACGCTGCCGGTACTATAAGCTGTTAACAATTCCCTTTCGGATTGTGTAGGTCAGTCTCCAAAACCTGAGAATCTCTGCGGCACAGCTTGTCCCCCTCGGTAAGCTAGAGATAAGATCTGACACGATTCTGATCTCCCGCGAGAAGTATTCCATTTGTACTGCTGGGCTGAAATACTTTGGGAAACTTAAACTAAAAATTCAGAAATCAAAGTGGAAAATGAAGTACAATCGGTATTGGTATTGTGAGTTTTCGTTGGCATTTATTATGAAATAATTGAGTTGTTATTGCAAACATTATTGTTTATGATAACAGCATTCTTAATTTAATTTTCAGAAAATTGACGTCTACAGACACTGTCATCCACTACTCTTCACAACATCCTACTCAACATAAACATTCTGTCTTCCACTACATGATATACAGATAACTAAGCCTGCACCTGACTAAATCTTATTTTCTGGAAGAACTGAACAACACATTGCTATGAAGTCGTAGGCTTCCGCGACCAGAGTCATGTGGGTGATCTGGGCTGTCCGGGTGACGCCGCGTCGAAGGCTGAGTTGCCGACGTTTTGACCATCCTGTCGTGGTCTTCCTCAGGACTGGTACCCTGATCATACCAGCCCTGAAGAAGACCACGACAGGATGGTCGAAACGTCGGCAACTCAGCCTTCGACGCGGCGTCACCCGGACAGCCCAGAACACCCACACAACACATTGCTATGTCAAACGCACAGAACTGAACTATACAACACATTGCTA